AGCACTATTTGTTGTAAATGCCATCCCCGTACCCTAAACAATCATAGAAGGGCTGGAAGGGATCTCAGAGGTCATTAGTCCAACCCCCTGCAATGCAGGAATCTCAACTAAAGCATACATGATAGATGACCATCCAACCTCTTCATAAAAACCTCCAAGGAAGGAGAATCAACCAACTTCCAAGGGAGCCCATTCCAATGTCAAATAGCTCTTACTGACAGAATTAATAAGAAGGATACACTGCAACGTATTGTTGCAAGTCCTACTAGTAGTCTACAACAGTAGGACAACTTATCAGGACCAACAAAAATGCCACAAGTCTAATGTTAAGCAAAGTACACAAACAGAAATGGAGCGGGGGGGGGGATCTGAGCAGAACAGAAAACTTTGAAAACCTAGTTTCCAACAATCTCAAGATTGTGCACAGGAGGGCAATGCAGAGTTGATTAACTTAGATCATACCAGATGCAAAACATATTTCAAGTTATAGCAAAGGCTACTGGGACAAACAATTGCTTTTCCCTTATGTAGCAGCTCGAGTCCTTAAAGGACCTGAAATCATATATTACTTTGGTTTCATAATACATTTAATAGCTCAGGAATAATAAAACAAACTTTCTTCACTAAATCGGAAATAAATCTGTCATTGGGTTTAACAAGGTACTTGTTGATGAAAGGTAACAATATAGCTTTGAAAAGATCCCAGAGTGATTATAAACCTCTGGTCAGAACATCAAGTTGATGAAAACCAAGGCGTAGAAACTGACTTCAATAAAAACTGTAGTCAGTTTATGCGTATGGACTCATTATAACTACAGTGATCCAGCATACTATAGAAATGAATGAAAAGGCTGTGTGGCATATTGCATTATCCTTTTTTGGAGGTGAATCCATGTGCTACATGCTAAATCTGTAATGTTAGCATTTGGAAAAATATGTGCTTGATATTTTAATCCCCCAGTTTCTCCACGTAGATGAGGGCAACATTTATGCCTCCTCCACCCACACTAACAACCCTGTGATAGTGAGGCTGAGAGAGAATGGCTGGTCTAAGGACACTGAATAAGTTTCACAGATGAACAGAAATTTGAACCCCAGTCTAACTGCAACAGCTTAAACAAAAATTTTTTTAAAAAATCCTTCCAGTAGCACCTTACAGACCAACTAAGTTTGTTATTGGTATGAGCTTTCGTGTGCATGCACACTTCTTCAGATACAGTGGTACCTCAGGTTACATATGCTTCAGGTTACATACGCTTCAGGTTACAGACTCCGCTAACCCAGAAGTTCTTAACTTCAGGTTAAGAACTTTGCTTCAGGATGAGAACAGAAATCATGCTCCGGCGGTGCAGCAGCAGCAGGAGGCCCCATTAGCTAAAGTGGTGCTTCAGGTTAAGAACAGTTTCAAGTTAAGCACGGACCTCTGGAACGAATTAAGTACTTAACCCAAGGTACCACTGTACACTGAAACAGAAGTCACCAGACCCTTATATATAGTGAGAGGGTGGGGAGGGGTATTACTCAGAAGAGTGGTAGGAATGGGTGATTGGCTGATAGGTGTGGTAAACCTATCACAACAGCTTAGCCTCTACCTCACACTAGCTCTTAATGTATACAGTTCCCTTCAATTGGCTGAGGCCCTTTGCCGCAAGGATGGAAATCAGATATTGTTGACCTCCATCACTCAGCTACCATGGATAATAGTCAGGGATAATGATACTCCTACAGGGCACAGGCTCCTCTCTTAGAAACTATAGGGGCATTTAGTCAAAGTGCAGCAAAGTGCAGGTTAGATAACCAAGGGCCAGGACCATGGAGAGCTCCATACAGAGACTCACTACCAGGTATTAAGGAGTTTGTTGCATTAGCACTGCTTGGGGTAGTGCGGTGGTGACTGAAGCTTCAGATAGTTCTGCAGGGAGACATGTGTGTGAAACCCTGCTTTCATGGAGGGAACCTGCATGGTAGCTATAGGGGCTGTATTTGAATAAGTGCATGGCAAGGTGGAAGATGATGGCCCTCTGAAGATGCAGATACTTCAGGGGAAGAGCCTGAATCCAAGGTAGGAAGCAGAGTGACCTTTTCACTGTCTGCTAGGGTGGCTCCTCCAATGAGGCCTCTAGTGGCATGATTGCTTAGGGGACTGCCTCCTGGCAAACTTCAGGAACCCAGTTGCCTTTATCCTCGGAGTCATGATACTCTTTGGGGAAAGTGTTTTCCAGCTGTAATGTGAAAAGTGGCTATTGTACAGCTGTGATATCAGTTGATTATTCTCAGATGTGAACAGCAAAGTACCAGGGAAATCTTCCAAAGACACCTAGGTGTAGAATATGAGCCCTTACCTGCCAACATTGAAGAAGCCCCCAATCCTGGTGCCCTCTCATGCCAGGCCGATCATGGACAGACTCCTGCATACCCATTTACCCTTCAGACAGAGAACCAGCAAAGCCAAAGTGCTTGAGCCGAGCCAACCTCCAGGAAAACCCTCAAGGGGGAGACAACCCCAAAACAGACCCATCAGAACTTAATGATATGAAATATTGAGATATTTAACCAGGTATGGATGGCACTGAGTGGCTTGAAAGGGATCACTAAGAGGAACAAAGACAAAGACCTATATGCCATGTTCAGACTAAGAAACTGTGTTAAAATGTTCCCATGATCAGAAGACAAAACTGCCCATTGACATCAACAGACACTTTCAAGGCTCTAATGGGGAAATTGGGTGGGGCCCAAAATGAAAAAACAACACCCCCCCCAAGCAGCCCAATGAGGACATAGCATGTGCCATGGACATGGAACGCTGACTAACTGGAGGAGGAAAGGGGAAGGAATGGAGTAGCTGGATGCCAAATTTAAAAAGCTCATTGTACTGACATCAAGGCATGGGAAACGACATACATAAAAGCAGCTCTACAAGATTGGTACCAAGGTCCTCTAGCTCAGCATCCAGTTTTAAACAGGGGAAGCCAGATTCCTTCCAAGAAGGCCACAAGTAGAGCATGAAAGTAACAGCCTTCCCCCATTGTTCATTTTCTAAATCTGGCATTTGGAGGTACACTGCATCTGAATATGGAGCTTCTGTTCAGCTATCACGGGTGACAGCTGGCATGTTGAACTGGAAGCTAAGGAGAACAGAGTGGGGGACTCTGCATGGGCTACAGTTCTCAGTGGTAGTCCGATGTTATTTGTAAATAGTGCTAGTCAGAAGGAGTTTTCTCTAAATCACAGAGAAATGGCCTCCAAAAATGCATCTGTTCTTCTTCTGTTCTAGTAAGTAGGGGAAAACATAAATTTTGTGACTTTTGTGACAGGATCCTCAAAGTTATTGAAAATTATTAGTTATATATTGCTGTGGGGTGGGGGAGATGTGACATTTTATGAAATCATATCTTGGCTTAACACATCTGGAAGGAACCTCATGCTCCTCTGTTTACCTTAAAATTTACATGTGATAAAAGAGGACAGCAAAGATTTACAAGGAAGGAGACAGCAATCAATTATCAGAATGTCCCCTGCCTGAGTTACTATAATGGAGGCTCTCTTCTTGTCCCTGCAAGCCAAAACAGAACTTCCCTTCTGAGGGACAGGCTACCATAGCAGAAGCTGGGGTACTTTGTAAGAAATATCTCATAGATTTGACATTTTCTAAGGGCCTCTTCTCTCCCACCCCATCTTCTTTGGTCAAACAGGTTTTGCAGGTTTCAACCAGTCCCGGGGAAAAGATGAAATCAGTGTGTTACTGCAGATCATAGAATCAAAGAATCTTAGAGCCGGAAGGGACCCAAGAGTCTTCTAGTCCAACCCCCCACAATGCAGGAATCTCAGCTAAGCACCCATGACAGGATGTAAGGATGTTTTGGTGCTGACTAAATGGTACCTACGTTCTTCTCCACAGTACTGTACACAGAAACTTGTCTTACTGAAAGGCTACAGTGCAATCCTATATGTATTTATTCAGAAACAACCCCAGTTCAAAGGGACGTATTCCCAAGTTTGAATGCCTCCCTGAGTCAGTATTGGTTACTCTACACTGACTGGTGGTGTCTCTCCAGGGTCTCATGGAGAGGTACTTTTATGCACATGAGCCCATCTGCATGCAAAGCATATATTCTACCTCCGATGGTGCTTGCAGAATCCGCAGAACCATTTCAAATGCTTTTGTAAAACAAAACAAAACCCAGCAACCTCAAGCATATGGAAATATGTCCACTTGTCCACATATCTGCACACATAGCACTTGTAAAGACACCGCACCTCCCTAGCAATGCCTTCTGCACATTTCCCAGCTAGCCATTCATGTGCATGCGCTGCCTTGCTCACTGAGTCATACTTATGGCATGCTGCTGGAAGTGTCCCTCTTTTGGGCGACATGGCAAAAGTGGGACACTGCATATGGTGATGCCTCTACAGGTCTGGCTGGCAGTGGGCTGCCAGGGAACTGCAATGTGCAGATGTGTCAAGCCCAGCATACATAACTGTGTGAATAGGACCTGCAGCTGACCTCTTATATGGGTTGGATCTGCACTATACTGTATTTGTCTTTAACAAAAAATATGATATACTGCTGTCGATGCCAGGAAGAGGAAGAGGAAGAGGTCCACATGTGGTTGTCCTCTGGTGATCTGGTCGCTCTCTTCCCTCTGTGTCCATCTCTCCTCCCCCTGCTCCCTGGCCCTCACTTGCTTCTGGGCATTTCTGCCACTTGAGCATTTCATTCATGTTTTCCCTCTCCCCCCCCTTCCCCATCTCTCTCTCTCTTTCAGAGAAATATGTATGTCTGTGTGCGAGTGTGTGCGTGGGCGGCCTTTGAAAGGCTTTCTGTCAGTCAAGCCACTGAGCTGAAAAGAGACGAGAGGTATGGGGGAGAGCGGTTTTAATGGGGGATGTGGGCGGCTGTTGTTGCTACCGCAGCCAGCCAGCCATGCAGCCCTTCCCTGTGGGGGGAGCATCTGCATGAAGCATGGGGACGGAGGCTTTCCGCCACTCAAAATGACCCTCCCCAAACACATGAAGTCTCTTCACCTGCCACAGTGCCTGAAGCAACACAAAGGAGGAGGCGAGGGCCATGACTGCAGACTGCCTTTGACATCTGCTGGGCTCAGTTTCCCTGTGAGCCACGCATTTCTGTTACACCTTGAGGAAGGAAGGTTGCATCCTGAAAAACAGGGGGTGGGGGATGGTTTAGAGAGCTTTATTAGCCAGGGGGTTTTGTCTTACAGCTGGAAAGACCCAGCACTGTGGAAAGCAGATGGGGACCCTTCACAGCTGTAAGGTTTTTGCTTCCTAAATATAGGGGGTCAGCAATAGCAGAATTTGGGAGCATATTGTGGGGAGGTGGAGCAGGAAACTTCTGTATACTATGTGGAGAATCGAGCTTTCCATCATTATTGGACTGGCGCTCTGCAGCGTGTGGCGGGAGCCTGTGTAGCAAGAAATAGGTGGGGGGGGGTTAATAAAAGGGGAGGGGGCTTTCCACAAATGAACTGAGGGTTTGAGCAGGCGAGCCCAGGGCTTAGCCCCCAAACCTATCTCCAAGTGTCACAACTCAAGCCTGGTCTGCACGAAGAAGAGAGCGCTCCTGTGCATGTGCAGAGAGCCTCCCCCCGCACCGCCGAAAAAACACAGCGAACCCCTCCATCCGGGAGACGGAGGCCGGCTTCCTCTGTTGAGGTGAGTCAGGTTTGAAGCTCTGCAGAGAGTGTAGGGGCGTCGGGACGGCGCGCGAAGCGTTTCTGGGAGGCTTTTACCTCACCGGCGGGGAAGAGGGAGAGAGGGAGAAAGAGAGTTGCATTGGCGTGGCCTTCCGCTTGGCGCCGTGAGGTACCGTTTTTTTTGGTTTTTTGTTTCAGTGGGGGGCGGGAGACGGCTTTGAATTGTGCCGTGGGGTGGAGCTCTGCAGCGTGGAGCTGGGGTGGGTGGGTTTGCAGACCAGACTGCCTGAGCGACGAAGAGGAGGGGGCCTTTGCAGTGGGTCTAAGGAGAGAGAGAGAGCGCGCACCCACCACACGCACGCACGCGCGCGCAAACACCTCTCTCCCGGCCTTGCCTCTGGTGGTCTCTTCCGCAGCGTGAGTCTCCCGCCTCTCTTCGCTTCCTTTCCATATACCTGAGGCGCGGCGGGATTGAGCAGGTGGGGGCGTGAGGGGGGCATGGAGAACGCGGGTGTGGGTGCTGCTGTTGCCGTGGGAGGGGGGGGGAGGAAAGGCGGCTGGGAGAGCGCGCGCAGCCCCGCCAGAGCGGTGGGCGGGAAGCCCCTGGAAGGGAAGCGGGCGCGGGGGGGGGGAGGGGAAGGCGCCAAGGCAGAGAGTCCAAGGCGCCTGCTTCGCGCGCGCCGGCTGCGGCTCCTGAGGCGAGGTGAGGGCTCTTTCCCGCGCGGGGTTCTTGCGGGTGTTTTTCGCGTGCAGCTGTTGCTCCAGCTCTGCTTTTCGCTTCCGGAGGGGTCCCCCGCCGCCTCCTCCCCGCTGGTCAGCGTCGGCGTCCCGGAGAGGAGGTGGCGAGCGGGCGCCAAGCCGCGCGGATGCCGAAGTGGGTGCGCGGTGGCGCGCTCGGCGTGGGCTGAGGAGGGCGATGGATGAACAGTCGCCCCTCCAGGCACACCGGCACTGCCTGGAAACGAAATAGACGCAGGCAGCCCGGCACCAAGCGGTCAATATTACCGGGTTGTTTTTTTAAAAAAATATTATTTAGGGTCTGTTTACGTCGCTCCTTAGTGCGCGCGCTCACACACACGAGCAAAGCCCACAGTGGCGTCCTGTTGTCCTTCGTGCGTGTGGTTCATACTAAAAAGGAGTAATGCATGTGTGTGTGTGTGTGTGTGTGTGTGTGTGAAAGATTCCCCTGTATTTGCTGGGCAATGTAGGGAGCGCGCTCCAGCTGGGGAAGCGAGGTGCTGTTTGTGTGTTTCAGTTCTAGTCACTGCACTGAGTAGCTAAAACCTGATCTCCCAATTCCGGACTGCAGTAGAATATTAGCAACGGCCAGCCGGGCTTCTCCCCCTTTCCCCTTCAATGTTCTCCTGGGATAACACTTGACTAAAGCCGACCTGATGAGACAACCCGGAGTCGCAATGGTAGCCCATCACTTTCTGACCAGGCTAGATGCTGAGAAAGCCCTACTGGGTCGGTAGCGCGCAGGTAGTGGAAAGCCCACTGCTTCTGAGTGCTGTTTGCTTGCGACCTTTGTGCGGCAGCCCAGCCACATCGCGGGAAAGGCTGGATGGCTGGAGGGGGGCGGGAGGAGGCTTTGCTGCTGGTGGTGCAAAGTGAATAGTCTTATAAGAAGGGGTTTTTTTTTGTTAGCCAACAGGCAAAATTATTATAGTGTTTCTGATTAAATCGCCTAAGTTTCATATTAGAGGAAAACCAGCAACGTGATCCTATTTTCCCAACTTTTCATTTTAATCTATCTAATTAAAACGTGCCAAAGTTAGGCACACGTTTATTTATGGCTGAAGAAGACCTGGGTTTTTGGAATAGGTATTAGACATTAAAAGCCTGCCAGCTGGTTTTTTTCTTGAGGGATTGATAACTTGCTGCTCTGGATTTTTAATTTTTAAATCTGTTTTGTTATGTTTCTGCTATTCCCATAAAGCTTTTTTTTATTGTATAAAAAGAGGTGTGTGTGTGTGTGTGTGTGTGTGTGTGTGTATTAGAGTCAAATCCAGATACAGGCGTCTCATAGGTCTCTGAGGGATGCATGCAGAACTCCAGTAGAATTTCACCTTGTTAATTAAAAGTCAGCACTTAAAAAAAAAAATGCTGCTTGTTGCTTGTCTTTGGCATCTCATGATCTAGAGAAGCGCAACTCCAGTAGAAGCAATGGGGACAAAAAGCAACCTTTTTGTAATGTCCTTTGTACGTGTTATATGAAAGGTGTTGTCAAAAAAGGAGAGCTTCTCCATTGTCTGGTACCTGTTGTGAGAGATCAAGGCTTGCAGTTGGTCTAAGAGGTTTTCTATTAGACCACTAAAACAAATAATTTGCAAGTGAGAGCCTGTTTGAACCCAGATTCTTTGGAAAGGGTTACTTGCCTGCATGTCTGAAGACAGGGGTCCTATCCAAGTGAACAGTGTATGTTATGGCGAAGGGCTGCAATTCTGGGCCCACCTCAAACTGGTTGCAAGAAATATCCATCTGTGAATATGGTGGAAATGGAAGGCGAGTGAGACCTTAATTAACCTTAATTAGTTTGACTATGCTTTTCCATTATTGTCTACTTTTGTATATTATCTGCCTGTCTGTTATGTGGTTCCAGTATTCCAGGCAATCCTTGAAGGCAGTCCCCACATCTTGAGAGATCCTGTTCAATGGGGGTGGGGAGAAGGCAGGGGAAAAGGAAAGCATCTGCTGAAATATGTGCTGTGCTAGGTTTATTGGTTGATTATGGGTCTTTTTTAAAATGTGGAATTGTTTTTGGTAATTAAGATGTTTAAGCCTCATCCATTATGTTTTTGTAATAGGAGCTGCAATATGGACATAGTTCTTGATGGAACAGGGAAGTCTGGTAGCCTTTTGTTTTATACAGCAATCACATATGTTCTTGTGACAGACTAAAAATTTGGTCATTAAAAAAACCCTACTTTAATCAGAACCATATTTACTCTGATGGCAATCCTATATTCATCTGTTATGGTTATGTTTTCAGAGCCATGTAGGCTTTTATAACACAATTGTATACTGTATAATGAGCAAATATTCTTAAAAAATAAAATAAAATCCTTGAAGTGAGACTATTTCCTGGCTTTACATTTTGCCATACCATAGTATACTTCTCAAGCTCAGTCTAAGCATTAATGTTAATCTGTGGAAGTTGCTTGAAATATAGTCGTACCTTGGAGCTTGAACGCCTTGCAAGTCAAATGTTTTGGCTCCGAACGCCGCTAACCCAGAAGTGAGTGTTCCAGTTTGCGAACGTTCTTTGGAACCTGAACGTCTGATGCAGCTTCCACTGCTTCCAATTGGCTGCAGGAGCTTCCTGCAGCCAATCAGAAGCCATGCCTTGGTTTCTGAACATTTTGGAAGTTGAATGGATTCCGTTTGACTTCCGAGGTACCACTGCACTTCCTTTGTGGTGACGTATTCCCGCCTCCACCATACTGTGTTGCACTCCCACATTCCAGGTGATTTTTCTACCTAGTCCAGGTAACTTCTGTGGCAGTAGGACTATAAGAAGAGCAGGTCAATATCACTTCTTGTCCAGCATCCCACTCTGAGTGGCTGCTTATGGGGAGCCCCCCAAGTAGGGATCTAAGCACAACACCACTCTCCCCACTTGTGATTCCCAGCAATGGTCATTCAGAGGCATATTCTGCCTCCAACAATAGTGGTAGAACATAGCCATCATGTCAGCTGGGATAGGTCAGTCGGTAGAGGATGAGACTCTTAATCTCAGGGTTGTGGGTTCAAGCCCCACATTGGGCAAATGTTTCCTGCATTGCAGGGGTTTGGACTAGATGACCCTTGAGGTCACTTCCAGTTCTACAGTTCCATGATTCTATATGGCTAGTAGTCACTGTTAGCTTTTTTTTTTTTTGCCATAAATTTGTCTAATTTTCTTTTAAGGTCACCCAGTGTGGCTTGTTCTGGCAGTGGCTACAAAAAATAATGTGGGTGGCAGCACTACATGTTGGTGTAATAACAGGTGTAAAGCGCCACTACATAGCCTTACACTGAGTTCTGCTTAGATCAGTATTGATACTCTTGTTGATAGTAATAGTCGAAAATCTCAAGCACAGAAGGATTTCCCAGCCTTGCTACTTAGAAATCTTTTTGAAGATTGCAGGGATTATATGGGCCTTTGGTCTGATCCAACAGGACTTTTCTGAGCATGATAATTGTATCCCAGCAACGATAATGGCCACCCCCAGTTTGGAGGAAACCACACTGTATCTACCCCTGAAGAATATGGAACTGCAGGGACTCCACTACAGCAATAGTCTCCCAGATTTGGAATGGCTGAGCCAAGTACAATTATCATTGCATAGTACACCATGTCATTTCTTTACTTTCTCACTGCTTAGACTGCCAGTGGCAGAAACTTGCTGCCTTGGACTAGTCAACCTGCTTGGTTGCCTTTCAACCCTTCCACTGCAATTTATTTTCCTCTTTCATCTTGCCCTTACCAGTGGCTGTACCCAGTTCTGACACAATGCTGGCCTTGAATGCCCAAGTGTTCTATACTGCAAATAAGTACAGATTCTCTGGTGAGTCTGGCTTAGATTCATGTTTCTGGTGTCCATTCTAAAAAACAATCAGATATGCACCTAAAACCATTAGAAAAATCTTTATGTCCATAAAGCTGCTAAGACCAGAAGCTCCAGGTTTCCATGCAGAGGAAGGAGGAGACACCAAATCTAGATTTTTCACTAAGAAGCTCAAAGGTCTGATACTGTAATAGGTTTGCATAAAATTCCATAAAAGCACCTGATGTGAAGAACTCATAGTCTACTCTATAAAGAGGCTTGGAGAACTTGGACTAACATTTTAGTAAGTAATTTGGTGCCTTACTGTTATTTGTAATTAATGGTCACCCTTCATTCCATGATGGGGTCCCATGATGAAGTATAAATGGCAAAAACTAAAGAACACTATCAATGTTAAATTAAATAAGATTAAAAACACAGCTTCCAGCCATTAAAACAGTTCAGCAGCGAGCCATAAGAATAACCATGC